CCAAACACAGTTCAGGGCTGGGGGTTCTCCTGGGATCCTGCTGTAGCTTTGTTCCTCTCTGTTCTTTCCAGGCTGCAAGTGGCTTCCAAATTCATGCCAGTTTCCAGTTTGATCATTGGTGAGTGATGGGACCTGGCAAGAGGTGGGTTGGGGACAGGGACCTCTACTGCAGTCCCTAGGTGTGGCCAAAGAAAGAGAATCCTGGATTGAGGGATCTGGTAGGAGGAGAGGGTGGGTGGGGAAGCCTCGTGGGATGGGCTGGAGCTTGGTTTGGAAGGGTTGTGGTGTTCATATCTCTTCCTTACACCAGGGGTGGACTTGGTCCCCATCAAACCCATCCCCAATGTGGTGACACTGCAGGAGGACATCACCACTGAGAAATGCCGCCAGGTAAAAACCTCTCTCCTCTACTCCAACCATCACACCTCGGTCTGGCAGGACCATGGTGGGGTCCTGAGCTGAGCTGGATGGGGGAACTGCCCGGTGGTTCTTGCAGAGGGGTTAGTGGGACCAACATCTGCCTCCATCCCTCAGGCCCTGCGCAAGGAGCTGCAGACGTGGAAGGTGGATGTGGTGCTAAACGATGGAGCACCCAACGTGGGAGCCAGCTGGGTGCATGATGCCTACTCCCAAGGTGAGGCTCACCTGGGGCTGGCCTGTGGTCTGGGGGGTACAAGGACAGGCACGTGTCACATCCCAGTGGGACAGGGTGACAGTGGTGTGTGCTGTGGGACAGGGAGCTGCGTGGTGGGGACAGTGACAACTGCTGACTGCTCTTCTCCTCTGTTCCAGCCAACCTGACCCTCATGGCTCTGAAACTGGCTTGTGAATTCCTCTGCAAAGGTGGCTGGTTCATCACCAAGGTTTTTCGTTCCCGGGATTACCAACCACTCCTCTGGATCTTCCAACAGTTCTTCCACAAGGTCCAGGCCACCAAACCCCAAGCTTCCCGCAATGAATCTGCTGAGATCTTCGTGGTGTGCCAGGGTGAGCCAGCCTGGAGGACCTGCAGCTGTTGGGATGGGACTGGGAAAAACCTCCTGATGTCTTTGATTCCTTCATCCCAGGGTATCAGGCTCCAGACAAAATCGACAGCAAGTTTTTTGACCCCAAATATGCCTTCAAGGAGGTGGAGGTTCAGACCAAGTCCATTAGTGAGCTGGTCAGCAAAAAGAAGCCAAAGGTAGGAGATTGACTTACTGGGCAGCAAGGCCAAACACACACAAAAAAGCCTGGAGATTGGGGCCAAAGAGATTGTAATAAGCAAAGTAGCTCAGGAAAATGAAAGATCTTGGGATGCAAAGTGGTGGAAGAACCAGTTTTGGGGAGATTTGCAGCCTTAGAAGGTGGTGTGGTGTTAGGGAAGTGATGAACAGGTTGTGAGGCTGGGGAGGGATCGGTCAAACCCTCCCTGCAATAGTTGGCTGCTGGGTTTGTGTCTTTGTGAGGTGGCTTTAGGACAGGGGACACTAAAGGCCATGTCAGGTGGCCTCAGCTGGGCACAAACCTGTGACACTGTCACCTCTCTGTCCCTCAGATGGGACTGGGACATACCATGGAGCGGGCAGGTTGGGGCTTCCAGTGTGTGGGCACATCTAGGTGGACACTGCAGTGAGACATGAGTTATGTGACATCATCATCCTTTAGGGATGGTTGAAGCTGCTTTTGTGTCCTGCTGTGACTCACACAGCTCCATCCTCCTGTAGGCAGAAGGGTACACAGATGGTGACATGACCCTCTACCACCGCTTCACCCTGATGGACTTCCTCAAGGCACCCAACCCCGTGGACTTCCTCTCCAAGGCCAACGAGGTGAGTTCCTGAAGCAAAGGGGACCTTGGTGGCCCCTGAGTTGTCCCCAGGAGCACAGAGCGATGAAAAGAGGGGACCAGGTGCCCCAGCAGTGACCCCATTCCTGTTCTTGGGGGAGCAGGAGGCAGGGCAGGACCTACCTGGGGTTTAGCCACTCGATCTCCTTTATTTTATAAGTTGATTGTGGAAATGGCTTGAAACTGGAAGAGAGGAGATGGAGATTAAGTATTAGGAAGAAATTGTTTGGTGTGAGGGTGGTGAGACAGTGTCCCAGGTTGGCCAGAGAAGCTGTGGCTGCTCCTCCCTGGAAGTGTTCTTGGCCAGGCTGGATGAGGCTTTGAGCAACCTGGTCTAGTGGAAGGTGTCCCTGCTGCTGGCAGGGGGGTTGGGACTGGATGAGCTTTGAGGTCCCTTCCCACCCAAACCAGTCTGGGATTCTGTGATTGTCTTTACCAAAGGCAGGGAATTAACATATGTGCTTAATTAATTTCCCTCTGCTCTATGCAGATCACACTGGAGGACGGTGAGCTGGAGAATCACAGTTCCACCACGGAGGAGCTGCGTCAGTGCTGCAAGGACATCCGCGTGCTGGGACGCAAAGAGCTCAGGTACTGGTGGGGACTGGGACAAGGTGTTATGCCAGGGCCTGGTGAGTGTCTCTAATATTTTTGCCTTCCCACACAGAGCTCTGCTGAACTGGAGGACAAAGTTGAGGCGTTTCTTGGCCAAGAAGCTGAAAGAACAAGCGAAGGAGCTGGATATCAAGTAGGAACAGCAGGGCTGCCCCCGGCACCAACGCGGTGAGGTGGGTCTGGCACCAGGAAAGATGGTCTGAGCGCCTTCCTTTTGGCAGCCTGAGCTCTGGTGAAGAGGAGGAAAGCAAAGAGGAGGAGAAGGAGAAGAAGACAGCGCCGAGAGCCGCAGCTGATGAGGCGGTGAAAGAGGAAGAGGAGGTAGAGCTGGCGTTGGCTGAGATGAAGGCTGAGGAGCTGGCAGAGTTAAAGAGGTAAAAAGAGCTCAGATGAGGAGAGATGGGGGATGACCTGGCCAGCAGAGCACAGGGGACTCCAGCCATGGGGACAGAGGGTGGCAGCATCAGAGCCTGTTCCTCTGTGGACAGCGGGTGGCGTTTGTGGGTCTGGGGTCTTCAGGGTCATCTGCTTCTCCAAGCAGGTGAAGCAGCTGTTCCAAGCTGGCATGGGCCCCCTTTGCCCCAGGGTTGGGGACCCCTCAGAGAGGGATGACAGGGCTGCTGAGTACCCAGTGCTGGGGGAGATCTGTCACCAGTGTGGCAGTGGATGAGCCCCTGGGATGGGGGAGGCAGCGCAGCCTCATTCCTTGGCCTTCTTCTGCAGAAAGAAGAAGAAGATCCTGAAGGAACAACGGAAGCAGCGTGAGCGTGTGGAGCTGAAGATGGACCTCCCTGGTGTCTCCATCGCTGATGAGGGTGACACCAGCATGTTCTCCCCCCAGACTATCCACAAGACCCCGGTGTGTGGGGCAGGGGGAGGCCAGGCTCCCAGAGCCATCGGGACCAGGACAGTGTGGGCACGTGACTGACAAACTGCAGCTTGTGACTCGTGTCACTTGCATTGCAGCTGCTGAACGAGTTGACCCGGGGGGACATGGCATCAGCAGATGCTCTCCTGGAGATAGGACCTGGAGATGATGACATTTGCATCTCAGATCATGAGGAAGATGATGATGTGTCCCTGGCCAGTGATCTAGACCCAGAGGAGCTGGTGGAGATAGAGGCCCGTCAGCGCCGGCTGGAGCGGGAAAGGCGAGAGCAGGGTGCAAAGAGGTGAGAGCCAGGAGATGCTTCCCTGGGGCAGCGGCTTCCTCTGGAGCATTTCCAGCAGTGGGCAACACCCCCATCCTGACTGGGAGGCACTGGTCCTGCTGCTGTTTGTCACAGGGTGAAGTTTAAGCAGAAGGAAGAGGAGGAGGAAGGGGAGGAAGAGGAGAATCCACTGCTGGTGCCTCTGGAGGAGAAGTCAGTGCTGGAGGAACGACAGACCAGCCTGTGGTTTGGGAAGGTGGGTCCCACTGAGGCAGAAATGACAGGCCAGCCTCAGTCCCAGGTTTGCCCTGTGTCCCCTGACCCGCTGCTCCCCATCCGCAGGACGCCTTTGCTGGCATCGAGGACGATGCAGATGAGGACCTGGAGCTGGGGCAGTCGCAAATGTTGGCTGAGAAACAGCGCGAGACTCAGAGAGGTGAGTAGGGGGCTGCAGTGCTGGAGGGGGCACAGAGGGACAGCCTCCCCCCAGCCCAGTCTGGGGCACTGGATCAAACCACAGTGTGGATGCTGCTCTGGAGATCTCCAAAGGTTGCTTCCAGCCTGTACCATTAACCAGTTAATGAGCTGGTATTAATATATTAATGAGCTGGGTTTCTAGAGGAACACTCTGCAGTGGGCTCTGCCTCAACCCTTCCTCACCCAGTGCTTCCTGCTCCCCAGACAAAGCAACAAAGAAAGGACAGAAGAAGAATGTTCCCCAGGAGGCAGCTCCAGCTGAGCCACCGCCAGCCCCAGACCCAGGACCTGACGCTGGTAAAGCGCAGGATGAGCAGAGCAGTGATGATGACAGCAGCAGTGATGAGGAGAGGTGAGAGCTGAGGGGGATAGTCTTGATGTTCTCCCACAGCTCCACGCTCCTGGAGAGCAGGGAGGTGAGGATCCCAGCCCTGACCACTCTCCTCTCCACAGGCCACTGACACCGGTGGGGAGAAAACAGGGCCGTGTCGAGCCATGTGGCTTTGAGGTGGTGCCCATTGAGGACCCAGGTGAGTGAGGGGTGCTGTGTGCACCCATCTGCACCCAGTGACACCTTGTGAGTCCCTCTTTAGGGCCAGGGGGCAGGTTCAGACCATCCCTGTCTGGGCTGGTGGGGCTGCTGGCAGATAACCCAAGTTTTAATCTGTCCATGTGCTGCAGTGAAAAGAGCCCGTGTCCTGGATGCAGAGGGCCTGGCACTCGGCTCTGTCATTGCCACCTCCAAAAAGGCCAGGAGGGACCTGATTGATGACTCCTTCAACAGGTACTTGGAGCTGCAGGTGCTGGAGGGGGAACAATATTCAATCTCCCAACAGGAGACAGGCGATGAGGGTGGCAGATATATCAGTGTGGGGACCCTACATCCCCCTCACAACTCACCCGAGTGTCCTCCCCCACTCAGGTATTCCTTCAATGAGAATGAGGGAGAGCTGCCAGAGTGGTTCACAGAGGAGGAGAAGCAGCACCGGTGCAAGCAGATCCCCGTGGACAAGCAGACGGTGGAGGCCTATCGGCAGCGCTGGCGGGAAATCAACGCCCGCCCCATCAAGAAGGTGGCAGAGGCCAAGGCCCGCAAGAAGCGGCGGGTGAGTGGGGCTGTAGACCTCAGACCTGTGCTCTGTTCCCCTTCCCAGGTGCTCTCTCCCTCCTCTGATTCCCCTTTGTCCCTCACTCTCCCTGTCCCCACAGATGCTGAAGAAGATGGAGCAGATGAAGAAGAAAGCAGAGGCCGTGGTGAGCACAGTGGATATCTCGGAGAGGGAGAAGGTGGCCCAGCTTCGGCGGTGAGTGGTGATGCTGTGATCCGTATCCTTCGTGTCATGCTGGCCTTGATTGCAGGGACAGCTCCTCCACCTTACCCAGCAGGGCTGGCAAGGGCTGGGCTAGATCCGGGTGTAGGGTGAGGGGTGGGAGAGCAAGCAAAGGGGCCCTGACTTGGGGCACAAAAACCCAGGGGTTTGGTGGGACCCAATAGTGCTCATTGGATAGCAGCTAAAACAAGTCCAGAGGAGGCCACCAGGATGATGCGAGGGCTGGAGCAGCTCTGCTGTGAGGACAGGCTGAGAGAGCTGGGGCTGTTCAGCCTGGAGAAGAGAAGGCTCCAGGGAGATCTTATAGCACCTCCCAGTACCTGAAGGGGCTCCAGGAAGGCTGGGGAGGGACTTTTCATAAGGGCAGTTAATGACAAAACAAGGGGAAATGGGTTTAAACTGAAAGAGGGGAGGTTTAGATGAGATATTAGGAAGTTCTTCACTGTGAGGGTGGTGAGACAGTGTCCCAGGTTGGCCAGAGAAGCTGTGGCTGCTCCTCCCTGGAAGTGTTCTTGGCCAGGTTGGATGAGGCTTTGAGCAACCTGGTCTAGTGGAAGGTGTCCCTGCTGCTGGCAGGGGGGTTGGGACTGGATGAGCTTTGAGGTCCCTTCCAACCCAAACCAGTCTGGGATTCTGTGATTCTATGATATGTCCCAAAGCCAAATGGGGTGCTGGGGTCATGGTCTCACCTTTTCCCTTTCTCCCACAGCATCTACAAGAAGGCTGGGCTGGCCAAGGAGAAGCGACAGGTCACCTACTTGGTGGCTAAGAAAGGTGTTGGACCTCGAGTGCGCCGTCCTCCCGGCGTCAAGGGCCAGTTCAAGGTTGTGGACAGCCGCCTGAAGAAGGACGTGAGGGCTCAGAAGCGCAAGGAACAGAAGAAAAAACGTCATAAGTGATGTGGGACCAGCTCTGTCCTCACTGAGGGACTTGCCTTGGGACAGGGATGGCTCCTGTCCTCCCACCACGGCTTCAGGAGCAGCCAGCTCACCCTGCCACTGTGCCCCATCGTGGGGACCAGGCTGTGACTCAGCCACATGTTCCTGTTGGTGCCTTGATGTGACATCGACACCCTTCCTGTGCTGTGTGGCCACATCTCCAGGTCTCTCACCGTTGCCATCTCTGCTGGGAGACTCTTGCCCTGCAGAGGTGGCACAAACATCCACACCAGCCCTCGCTGTCCCCAGAGAGGTTGTGGCTCAGGGGGAGGTGACTCCCTGGGCCGTATTGGTCACTGGGGTGGCAGGACAGTGGGTGCTGAGCCCTGAGGCAGGTGGGTGTTGGTCTTGCACAGAGCGGCTCCTCGGTTACAGCAGAATTAAACCCTGGCCTGAGGCTGCACCAGGATGTGTCCTGTGTCTTGATGGGCCTATGCTGTGAGCTGGCAGGTCCCTTCATGTGCTGTTTGGGAGAGAGCAGCGTAGGGTGGATGGGGGTCAGTGCACCCACCTTTGCCCACCTCGTTTTCTCTCTGGCAAAGAAGCTGAAGAACAGTTGACCTGCCCTGCAGCCAGCTGGCCTGACATCACAGAATCCCAGACTGGTGGGGTGGGAAGGGACCTCAGGAGATCATCCAGTCCAACCCCCCTGCCA